TTTGATTGCAGACTGTTATGTTTATATGGGGAAATGGTGGTGCATACATTATTTGAGATATATTTCAAACTCAGACTTCATTTTAAGGACATGTCGGCCAGGGGTGTAGAGCTATTTGTTTAAGCACCGGATTGGCAAAACAGGAGAGTAAACCAGTCTGCCTTGATCTATGAATTAATGTCCGGGACTCTCACGGTATCTGCTGCCCGCAGCTGTTTTATGGAAGGAAAACCTCCTTCACTTCATGAAATGGCTGCAGCATCAGGAGGCAGTGGGACGTATACTCGGTAAAGAGCTGTGCCTTTTTACGCACCGCCTTCGCTGTGTTTAACTTAATCAGAACAGTTTAAGAGTGACTGCAGGCTGCTATGTGTTAACCACACACACCTCTACACACATCTCTACACACATCGAACTGCCCGATTACTCCCCCTTTTATTAGTTTTAGGAAGGAGATGTCCAGTCAGTCACCAAGGCGCATGGTGTGTGTGTGTGTATGTGCTCTGCTCAGCTCAGCTCTGTGTGTTCGGTGTGTTTGTGTCTGTCCGACACCGGCATATATGCGGCTGTTCCCAAAATAAATTAGTTTAATCTTAATCTCGATGTAGTGCTAAATGCTGTCGGGAGTGCACCGGAACGAACGACACTATCATAATATCTTCTGAAAACAAATGCCAGTGTCACACACACACACACACACACACACACACACACACACACACACACACCACACACACACACACACACACACACACACACACACACACACACACACACACACACACACACAGCACACACACACACACACACACACACACACACACACACACACACACACACACACACACACACACCACACACACACACACACACACACACACACACACACACACACACACACACACACCACACACACACACACACACACACACACACCACACACACACACACACACACACACACACACACACACACACACACACACACACACACACACACACACACACCCTGTCGACCGGACATCTCCTTCATAATGCGCCTTCTCCTCGTTTTCCCCAGCATTCACTGGATTATCCGTAAATCATACAAACAAAACCAAAACGTTGATTTATCTGTTTTCCCGTTTTGGTTTAAAAACTGAATAACGTGTTTTTTTGGTTTTCCGAAAAACCAAAAAACAACACCGGTTCTTTTTTAAACTTTGTTAATATGTTTTGGATGCATATTGTTCTAGTATTTGTTCAGGCTGTTACATACAATTAGCCTCTGTTGCTACCTGCTGGTGGTGAGTAAATATTAAAATCAGTTAAAATTGACAACCGGTCCGCGATTTTTTTTTAATGTATCTACCGGTCCTTGGCACAATAAAGGTTGGGAACCCCTGGTCTAGCTGGTCACCATTAGCTGGTCGGGATAGCTGGTTTAGCTGGTAAAAGCTGGTGGTCACAGTGGTCTAGCTGGTCAGGATAGCTGGTTTGGTCACAGTGGTCTAGCTGGTCACCATTAGCTGGTCGGGATAGCTGGTTTAGCTGGTAAAAGCTGGTGGTCACAGTGGTCTAGCTGGTCAGGATAGCTGGTTTGGTCACAGTGGTCTAGCTGGTCACCATTAGCTGGTCGGGATAGCTGGTTTAGCTGGTAAAAGCTGGTGGTCACAGTGGTCTAGCTGGTCACCATTAGCTGGTCGGGATAGCTGGTTTAGCTGGTAAAAGCTGGTGGTCACAGTGGTCTAGTAGCTGGTCACCATTAACTGGTCAGGATAGCTGGTAAAAGCTGGTGGTCACAGTGGTCTAGTAGCTGGTCACCATTAACTGGTCAGGATAGCTGGTTTAGCTGGTGGTCACAGTGTTCTAGCTGGTCACCATTAGCTGGTCAGACTTGTATGATCTTGAGTAGAACTTTAGCTGGGATTACTTGATGGTTAAGCTGGTCATATATGATGATGAAACACTCTCACCCAATTGCAGTAGCTCAATCTATCATTTCAGATCAGAGCACCTACCTTACCAGAAAGGTACCAGAATGTATAGAATGTATTGTCTGTAAATAAATACTCATACATCAAATGATTAGAAGCAGGAAAATAATTTATAACACACAATGAACATTAACACAAATTTGAAAACATTTTCAAAACACCCATTACTTCATATTTTTAAGCAGTTTCCTTCAACTGTTTCTTTCCGCTTTTCACAAGGTCCTGTATTTTTTGTGAAATGTAGTAACCGGCCAACTTTTCCCTCTCGGTCTTCTCCACGTTTTGTGAATTCAGCCATCCTCTGAAGCACTCTTGAAAAGAGAAAGGAAAAACAGATTCACTTTTAGCTTTGTGTTATGATTACTTAAAGGGGACCTATCATGCAAAATGCACTTTTGTACGTCTTTTATACATGAATATGTGTCCCCGGTGTTCCAGGGAACTCACCAAGTGTCAGAAAACACAACCCTCTCTATTTTCTTCCATACCCAAATCTCTAAAAAAGGGGCTGCAACGGATCTGATAAAACTGATCCAGATTTGAACACTGTCCTGACGTCAGGACGGTGGCGCTACGGCTATTGAGCCAACTCTCCACCTATCAGGGGAATGTGGGGTTGGGCCACGGCCGGCCATTGCCGCTCGAAAGCGCTGGAGACGCTGTAGTACATATGCCAGGCCTGTAAGTGACGCTGTAGTCTGCCACAAAAGCAGTGAAGTAGACTTCCCCCCCATAGTTACCATGGTTACCCTTCTGTTTATTCTCCGCTGTGGCTTTTTTTCTCCCTCCCCGAGGCAAGCGTTTGCTCCCGCTGCTTTAATTCAATGCAATCCCTCCCCGTCGAGGCAAGCACTGTAATTCTCTCCGGTTAGTCCACCGGCAGATGACAAACACCCACCTCTCCGCCTCTTCCAAGGAACAAGGGGGCCGTGCGGCAGTGTTTCAATTTCAGTTTGTTTCGCCGGTCAAGATGTCCGTTAAAGTTTAAATCTTCCGGACAAAATTAGAAAAGTGCCGGTCAAAGGTCTTCTTTGTTATTTATTGAGCTTTAAAACAAATGAATAACGACTCTATATAATAAAGCACGGAGGACAGCCCAGCAGCTGATCAGAGCACGTCTCCCCTCTCCTGCAGGGGGGCGTGGTCAGCAGAATCAGACCCGTAGACAGCAAACAGCACAGAGAGCGAAATGAGGCATGGCTAAAATGCATGATCTGTTTGGTATTTTGAAAACAGAAACGTATAAATATACCTTATATAGGTATGGCCCTACAATATATAATTTAAATATAGCATGATAGGTCCACTTTAAATATGTGCACTGTGAGATGAAAAAGAAAAATGTATCAAATTTAGTTTTGAACATTCACTGTGATTGGGTCTATTATCCACGCAATACACCATATTACATTTTTTTCTTAATTTACATTATTTAATTTCATATTCTGTTCTTGTAAATATCATATTCTATTATATTAAATGTATATAAACTTTTTGCACTACTTTTTATTTTGTATTTTATTGTATATGTTGCATTGTTGGAGGAGCTCAGGTCAGAAGAATTGCATTGACATTTCTACACTGCAGCTGCTGAGCATATGAGAATAAAACCTTTGAATCTTGAATCCAACACTTTCTTCAGTGGAAAATCCTAAATTGTAGGATAGTTTGGCCATAATAATGCTTTATGATTACATTTCTAGTGAGAAGTGTATATTTTACTTTCAGAATCTACCTCCAGTGGATGTGTAGGATCTACACAGGGTATATGCAGGAATCCTGAAGTCAAATGTAATACCTTTTAAGACCTTTTTTAAGACCCTTTCCATACATTTTAAGACCTCATCGCCACTTTGAGTTTTAACCGGTTACATTGGCGACACACTTTACCTATATATATATATTGATTGTCCTCCCTCCTTATCTTCCAACCATTTGGTCGCAAACTTGCATTTCCCCATAACGATGTTGTTTAACAACCGGCGTAAACGGACCTTCGCACGCTATCAAGCAGTGAGCGTGCGATGTCCTGTTCAGATGACGTAAAATCAAACGGGATGCCATAATATATTGTCGATAAATTGAGGGATATACGCTATATTTTATTAACACCAGTATGTACTTTATACATCCACCTCGAGTGTTTGTCTCTGCACCGGAAATAATTTAATTTTAAAGTTCAACCGCATATTATATAGACTATATCAGCGCCACACCTGCGTAACACATGGTGCCTCTTGTCTGAACAATCTATTCTTGTCGACTTGCAGCCTAAATACAAACATAACTCCACTCTCCTACCACTGCTTACCTCTAATGAGCCTTGGTAGAACTAGTGTCCGAGTCATGGGGTCCAGAACTGACTGAAGACATGTGGAACAGAGGACAGGCATGGTTCCATGTACAGGGAACTGGAACTTTGAACAGGTGTTTTCATCTTTTCTGCCTGAAGATTCACAAGTTCTTGATCAGGTGTTTGATGTGGGCTGGCATAGATAGATAGATCGTACTTTATTGATCCCAAATTGGGAAATTGTTTAATGATCCTTTCTGCAGCGATGAATAAAGAAAACAAAGAAAACATTTTTAATAATAGTAATGATGGTAACAACAATAATATTAGTATAACTATTTATAGCACTTACACAATTGCAAAGTGATTCTCCCAACAAAAATAAAGAACAAAACAATACCAACAATAAAAAAACAAATGATTATAGGAATGTTAAGAGACAAAGAAAGTATAAACATTCTGATAGGCCGACTACAAAAGGTAGACTCAATGGCTCTTGATGACATCAATGAGCTGTCCCAATAGATGCTGTTGTATAAAAAGAAATAGATTTCTTCTATTTTGTGTTGGATGATTTGTTTTATTGATTGCTGATGGATGTATATATATAGGGTTTATTGAACAGCAGTAAAGCATTAAGTTGCTAAATTAACATACACTGAACTGTAAAACAACTTACCACTATTTAGGAAAGGCTCTGATCAGGAGGGTTGACTAGTAGGACAGCAAAGAGGTGGAGGAGGTCTATGTACAACCATTGGTAGATGTTACACCTGAAAGAAAGATAAGGAAATAAAAGAAGACAGGAGTACAAACATCCTTTTAAAGGTGGGGTAGGTAAGTTTGAGAAACCGGCTCGAGATACACTTTTTGTTATATTCCATGGAATGCTCTTAACATCCCGATAGCAATGAATATCTGAAGTGCTTTGACAAAAAATCCATAAAAGAATGTCATCTGTGGAAGCCGTAGTACTGTAAAAAGCACGACCAATCATTTTAGCCGGCCCGGCTAAAATAACTGGATGGCCTACCTGCCTGTCAGCCTTCCATCGGGGCACAAACTTATCTCGTGCCCTCATTGGTCATGTGCGCGTTCGTGTGTGTTGGAGGAGGGGCTCTGTAAGGAAGTGGCAGATTTTTTCCGGTTGTGGATTTTCAAATTCTAGCGCACTCGAGCTGGTTTCTCCAAAATTACCTACCCTACCTTTAAGTAAAAGACCTGAGCCTGTTTTTTCAGTCTTTACAATGCACTGTTGGAAAATACCTTCCAAAGGCTAAATTCAAACTCAATACCATAAATAACTGGGTACCAAAGTGCTTTACCTGATAGAACATGTTCCACATGGAACAGCAACCATCCGGCTCGGCCTTTTGCTGCATATCATCTCCTCCCTCTCCACTTTCCATTAGATCTCTACTGTCCAATAAAACTGAAATTCCCCAAAAAATCATATTAAAAAAGTTAAAAACAATAACTTGCTTTTGACATTGAAATGGATTAGAATCTCACAATTTTCCTGGATGTCAGGAAGTCCAGGAAGTCATTCCCTTCAAGTCCGCAGCCAGTCATAGGAGTTCAAATGCAAAGCCTGAACGATGACAAGAGTGGGAGACTTACATTTTACAATTATATTTTTAATTAATACCAGAGCAGTGTGTACATAGGCCCTGTACGACATGCAGAGAACAGATCAAATCCCCTGACAGACTCACACACTTTGGTGATATCCTCTTCTGATAATGTTTCATTTTTTAGCAGCAAAGTATCATTACTCAAAGTATATGTCAGACCCAACTCATTTACAGTATGTTTTGCATCTCCTCAACAATGGTCTGTATCATTGAGTAGAAAAAAACTGTCCCTACAATTTCAGGTAGATTAACACACATTTGTAAGAAAGGTTTACAATGAAGCACAAAAACCCTCTTTGTATTAAGCGAGCTGCCACACAAAGTACAGCTTAACATGCTAACCTTGGGTAGAGAGCTAAAGTTAGCTAACTTCATGTTCAACACAAAACCTCTAATGGCATTACATTGACGATTTTAAACAAAACGTAACTCTCTCAACTTGTAAGATAACGTTAAGTTAAGTTAACCTTAAATAACTACATCACGTTTTTCAGGGGAAACACAAACTGCAGAAAACGTTAGCTGCTAACTGTTGTTAGCTAAGACAGCTAGCCTCCTAGCAAACGTAAGGTTAAGTTAACATTAACGTAACGTTGTAAGAAAGCAAAACGAACATTCGAGAAAGCTTTTACTCTCAGACTTGGTGAAATTGTGTAATGTTGCTTACCTCCAGAAGGACTTTTAGCGCGTTTCCCAGTAGACAGAGCTGTCAGAGCGGTGCCTCTCAGAAGAGCAGCCGCTGGGCGGAGTCACAGAAACGCTCAACTGATCTTCACTCCTCAACCGTTGAGCCGTTAGTGCCAGTCAAAACATACCGCTTTGTTTCAACCACTGCCGTCTCGCCGTCCGGCCGTGTCCCGCCCTCTCTGTCTGTCTGTGTCTGTTTCAGTTTAGCCAGCAAGACTGCTGTTAGACCAGCATAAATACCAGCTTCACCAGCATCCAGTTTAACTACCAGCTAAAACCAGCATAGACCAGCATAGACCAGCATGACATCCATGCTGGTCTATGCTGGTTTAGCTGACCAGGCTGGTCTTGAACCAGCCAGAACAGCCTGGCCAGCTTGTGCAGCCTGGTAAACCAACTAAACCAGCCTAAAACCAGCCTAAAACCAGCCTAAAACCAGCTAAAACCAGCTAAAACCAGCTAAAACCAGCTAAAACCAGCAACCATCTTAAGCTGGTCTATGCTGGTTTTTTCAGCAGGGAGTAACGCGTTAGTTTGTAACGCGTTAGTCCCAACACTGCAGGCGAATACAGTGATGTCCTCTCACAGTACCATGGAAAAGTGAAAGTGACCAGAGAGGAGTGATGATTGGTTAACGCGGGGTAACATTTCAGGGTAAGCCAATCAGAGACAGAGTTGGGCGGAAAATACACAGACACACAAACACTTGCTAACACACACACACATACACGGCAACGCCCACCACCAGCACACACACACACAATGGCAGATGCAAGTATCAGCGAGAGCAGCAGCGCATTTACAACTTGGAGATATAACCACTATTTTCAATTTGTGGGGATAAAGGACGCAAAAAATATTACGGTCAAATGTAAACTGTGTGCAGGACAGAAAGCATTGTCCACATCGAATAACAGCAATGCCAATCTCCTGAAGCACCTAACTAATGTACATGGGGCTTAGTCTTACTGTGCCACAGAACAACACAAAAACTTGTATTTTTATTGTTATTATTTTTAAAGTAAAGTAAAGTAACTTGCTACTAGCTAATTTAGTAACTAATAAAGTAACTAGTTACTTTTTTGAGAGCAGTAACTATAACTATTATGAGTTACTTTTTAAAAGTAACTTGCCCAACACTGCCTCTAACTGAGATTTCATCAAAAATGTTCTCTAGCAAGTGTGCAGAGCAATTATGATTTAAAATAGCAATTTGAAGGTTGGATATTTGTAAACATTTTTGTGTGTACATTAATAATTTAAGATGTAAATTAATTCAAATTAAGTAATTTCTATTTGTATTGTCATTTAGTGGCATCAATGTTTGCATTTTATACAGATAATGGAGCAGTTGCTTTAGGGCCTCATATACAGTATAGCCGGTAAAATCATGAGATCTTCGACCCCCCCCCCCCCCCCCCTTCCACACAGAGCCCCCCCACATATCAAATCCCAATTTAACCCCTGCTTACATCACACATCCTGATAACGTTGGAGGAATCCTCTGCAATAAATATTGGAAGACCGAGTAGGGCAGCCGTTCTTCTGTTCTGGTTTGTGTCCTCCAGGGGGGAAAAAGACAAGGGTAGGTAAATATGATAGCAAAGCTAGAATCCTTATCTTTGCACATTGTTGGTAATAGTTTCTCTGTAAAATACTTGCCTCTTTCTGAAGACACTGCAGAACACCACTCATGGCCAACCTTCTTCCAGATGCTACAGCAGCTTTGTAAGCCTCGAACAGACTTGGAACCATGGCATCTAGTCCTTCCAGGAAATATTTCAGCAGGTCTTTGATGACAATTCTGCTGAACTCGGCACATAGCTAAAACAGACAAAAATAAACAAACAGAGAAATGACAGGAGTGAGAAAAATAAGAGCACCATGTAACAGCTGTAGTAATTTAAAGAGAGGAATCCAAAACATAACGGCAAGAAATAGTACATGATTTATGTTGTTGAAGTATAATATCCTATAGTTCAGTAATAGTAGTTGTACCACATTGAAAGTCCTCAATTATAATGAAATGATGGAGTATATGATATTATACTCCATTACTTATGTAATAGTATTTCAGCAACTTAACCCTTGTGCCCTCCTCGAATTTTCAACCTTTCGACCCCTTCGAGGCAAAAATGTACACGCCCATAATAACTGCTATTAAATCATCATACATCAACATTTCTTTCTACTTTTTTTTTCATGAATCACTTGAACAACTTCTAACGTACTCAGAACTAGCAAACATTCAATAATTTTCAGGATTTTAACCCTTTAAATGCCTGTTTAATTATTTGAATTATTTCATTATTTATTACAAAAAAACACAAAAAATGAATTTCTTTCAATATAATAATTAGTAGAGGGATGGAACTTTGGTGGTTATTAGAGTCTTGGATGTGTCAAAGATTAGCAACAAAATTGATTTGACTGCATTATTATTTTGTACGTAGTGTCAGATACTACCTCTGGACCCCTTCGTGGCAAAAATGTACACGCCCATAATAACTTCTATTAAATCATCATACATCAATATCTTTTTCTACTTTTTTTTCATGAATCACATATACAACTTCTAACGTACTCAAAACTACCAAACATTCAATCATTGGCAGGATTTTAACCCTTTAAATGCCTCAGGTGATAGAACAACAATTGTTTAGGCCTGTGCACAACCAGCACACACCTCTCCTCCCTCTCCGTGTGTGTGTGTGAGAATCTGTAAGCATGCACGGATCATTTCATGGGGAAAAAAGGCCATCTTTTGAGGGATGTGTTTGATGTGTCTTTGAAGAGCTGCTTGATTACTCAAAAACGAAAAACAACTGTTAGTGTGTTTATGCACCTGGCTGCCAAAGATAAACATGCAGTTTGACCAAGGGCTTATTTCATTAGTGAGCAGAGAAGGAGAAAGACCTGGAGCAAAGAGAAGGAACTCAAATGAAGAAGCATGTCAGTGCAGAAGAGACTTCAGAAATAATCTTGCAGCCTTCTTCTGCCAGCTGCAGGACTCATCTGAAGAAGACACAAGGTTCGAGCTGGGGTCTGACACTGAATGCTCTCTGGAGTCCAGCATTTCTTTGAGTTCCTCTGACCCTTCCTCTGAAAGTGGAGAGGACACTGAGGGTCCCGTCCACAGTGAGGGGACAGAGAAGAACGGAGGTCGTTCTCCCAGGAGCTGGGGAAAACCAGGGTGTCCTCACAGATTGTGAGAAGAAAGCCCCCCGTGGTGGTGGATGGTGGGCCGGACCCTCAGGCTGCTTTTACACGGGAACGTTTGCGTTTATGCACAGAATGCGCTTTCCAAAAAGTCTTCCGTTCACATGCATTCGTTTCATTTAACATGTCTGTTCAAACGAGACCGCTGGAAACGCTGTAGTACATATGCCGGGACTGTAAGTGGCGCTGTACTTCCACACGAGACCGCTCGAAAGTGCTGGACACGCTGTAGTACATATGCCGGGACTGTAAGTGGCGCTGTAACTTCCGCCACAAAATACACCAAAAGCAGCGAAGAAGACCCCGGAGCAGCCCCGCAGCAATGTTGCCATGGCTACCCTTCTGTTTAGGCCCCGCGGTGGATTTAGCAACATGTAGTAGTTAATTTAATTCTCCATGTCCACTTGTTGCTGATGGTTGTGGTAGAGGAGCTGTAGATTTTGCACTAACATCTGTAGCATGGTCGAGCTGTAGATGTTGCACTAACATCTGTAGCATGGTCAGTAGCAGTAGCACTAGCAGTAGCTACTGGCCATGCTACAGCAGTGAGCAGCAGAGGCGGGGAGAGGTGGGGCTATCGTTATTTTTTCAGGAAATATTCGTACAGAGGCGATTACACGGACTCCTTTGACCCCCCAGAGCGTTTCGTTTGCAAATCTATCCACCTTGGGACCCGTTATCGTTTGTGGGGTCCGTTTGTTACGGCCTCGTGTAAATAATAGGGCTATACGTAAGAGAAACTATGCAGATACAAGCCGTTTCGTTCTCGTGTAAATGTGGCCTCAGTGTCCTCTCCACTTTCAGATGAAGGGTCAGAGGAACTCAAAGAAATGCTGGACTCCAGAGAGCATTCAGTGTCAGACCCCCCCTCAAACCTTGTGTCTTCTTCAGATGAGTCCTGCAGCTCGCTGGCAGAAGAAGGCTGCAAGATTATTTCTGAAGTCTCCTCTGCACTGACATGCTTCTTCATTTGAGTTCCTTCTCTTTGCTCCAGGTCTTTCTCCTTCTCTGCTCACTAATGAAATAAGCCCTTGGTCAAACTGCATGTTTATCTTTGGCAGCCAGGTGCATAAACACACTAACAGTTGTTTTTTGTTTTTGAGTAATCAAGCAGCTCTTCAAAGACACATCAAACACATCCCTCAAAAGATGGCCTTTTTTTACCCATGAAATGATCCGTGCATGCTTACAGATTCTCACACACACACACACGGAGAGGGAGGAGAGGTGTGTGCTGGTTGTGCACAGGCCTAAAATATTGTTGTTCTATCACCTGAGAGAGCACCAGGTCACATGCTACAGGACCAGCTGATCTGCTGCTGGAAATGACACACACACACACACACACACACACACACACACACACACACACACACACACATACACATACACATACACATACACATACACATACACATACACATACACATACACATACACATACACATACACACACACACACACACACACACACACATACATACACACACCACTCTCGGGGCCCCCTGGTAGTCACACGGCTCCATAATATAACTGGCAAAAATGTAAGAATTTAATGCATCGGCCTACAGTGGGAAAATGGTTGAATCTGGTGGAATAGAGTAGAAATATCAAATATCACTACTTTTCTTCTAAATGAAATGCTGACATTACAAAATGCATGGTTTTATACTGCAATGGCAGTGAGATAAAAAAATGTGGTTTGAATGGAAGCGCATTTTTAAAACATAGTCATTGTCCATGCCGGTTTAAATTGGATTATTTAGTCCTTAGTGATGAGTCCATGTCAGGTCCTCAGTGATGAGTCCATGTCAGGTTCTCAGTGATGAGTCAGGTCCTTAGTGATGAGTCCATGTCAGGTCCTCAGAGATGAGTCC